AAATTGAGCAAAAAATAAAATAATGGTGATAAAGAATATACAGTTCTGTTGACCTTTGTGTTTTTTGTTGCAATGTGAAATTCTAAGTTTTTCTTATTACTTTTTTAAAATAAATTTATTGTAATTCTTTTTTTTGAGATTTGCAATTATTTGAAAAAAAAAAAAACAAGATGAACTGCATAGCCTAGAAATATATATAAAAAAAATTCTGTAAAAGTTATGTCATGACACAAATCTATTATAGAGTGTTATGCTTTATCAAAACTTATGCACACAAACACAGACCAAACACAAATAGCATCCCTAAAGGTTAAAAAAAAATGTAAACAAATATTAATGGTAAGGCTTCCAGTCATCAGGTTATTAGCTGTTAAATATTGGGAGAATCAGAAGTTATATGCAGAATTTTGAGTGTTCAAGGGCCAAGACATCTAGTCCCTAAGTTGTTCAAACATCAACTGAACACATTACCAAATTGATAATGCCCCACAAAAATGAAATCCTTCCACATTATAACTTAGTAGCATTGAGTCATAGTAAGACACCATTATCACTATGGAGAATAGAAAAATACACAATGAAGTCAACGGAACACTAGAAATTGAATAGTAACAGGCCTTCAACATCCTGCAGGTGAAATACACATGCTTTGTCTGTCTACATGTCTCTACTTTTATATGACTAAATGCATGCCGCAACCTTTAACAAATACAAGTTACAATTCCAATAAGGGGCAGAAGTATTGAAAAAAAAAAAACCCTCTGAACTAAAATACTAATTAATTGTGACTAGTTTTAAAATGTTAGTTAAGAAGATGGATGTTCCAAACAAAAAGCATCTTCTACTTTGTGGGTACTTCAAAAAAATCTTGCTAATACAACAACATTTTCATTGATAAAGGATTATACATCTTTATATGAAAAAGTAACAAGGAATCCTAAAAAAAAAAAAAAGCTTAGCTATTCACATTAAAAAGAAGACTTGCTCATATCACTTCCCTCACCATGGTCTTGAACTCATCTGTGTATAGTTCATCTCAAAATTCCCTCTGTATCAGAGAAGAGAGTCTAGGGTAATTCAGTCCTGATCTGTTACATAAGTCCTCTAATTGCTATCTGCAAAGGCAATTTTAACTAACTTCTTAATGAGTTTCCAGTTACATGTGACACAGTAAGTAGAATCAAGTTTCTCAAATGAAAGTGAAACTAACAGACCACAAGAGCTGCTATTTATCAATGATGTCTGAGATGTCATTTCTAAAATGACTCCCTGCCATACCAGCAGGTACAGGCACTGCACTCAGCACACCCCTCTCCCCCATAGCTCCTACCCCTAAACTGCTTAGAACCAGGGTATTTCCAGCAAGATTGAGACTTCAGAATTTCCTCTCCACTAAAGCACAAATTAATACTCTATGACCCTAGCTATTATTATTAATGATAATAATTGATTTCTTCCAAAGGAGGATGAAAAATCAAACGCTGGGGTGAAGTTTTTAAAATTCAGAATGTGTGATGCCATCAATGGTGAAAGAAACTCAATCTAAAATGGAAAATCTCATGTACATGCCCTTGGGAAAACAAAATTTAAGGAGTGGTAAGGACTGAGAAACTGATCCCTTGTAAGGGCCTGGTGACAGAAGACAGACACTTACCCTGGGAGGCTGCATTTATGGTTTGCAGAGACCTGAGCAAGAAGTGACCTAGGTCAGGTCTGTCTCACCAAGTGGACTGGATTCGACTTTGTATTTTTTAAAGATTTACTTATGTATGCGTACAGAGCTGGGGTACAGGCCAGAGGTGTAGGGGCGGTGAAAGGATTCACCAGAGACAGAACGGGGGGGCAAACAGCCAGATAGAGGAAGTATACTGCTGAGGGGAGCAGCGGGCAGGTCAGGGGAGGTCTGCCATGCCATGTGGGCCACCTCCAGGGCTGGGACTGAAAACTTGCACTGAAGTGGCTGCAGCCAGCTTACAGTGCTGCCTCCTAACCTGTTGCACCACCGGGGGGGGTGGGGGGGGGCCTGGATTGGACTTTATAAGACTGGGCTGGCTTTGTCCTCTTAGGGAATTTTCAGGGTCGATGTCTATTTGTTTTCTGTTTTAGTAGATGCTAAATGAACTCCTTTTTTGAGAATGTTGAGCTTGTCTCAATTTACTTCTTTATTTAGAGCCAGCACATTAAACCATATTACCGGTTTGTCTCTTAACATATATAAAAGACCATAGAATAGAGGAAATAACAGCCTTCTGTTATAAATGACAGTTAAAAAAAAAATTGACACAAACACTTGATGTCTTTTTCATACCTGGAGTAGAATTTCCCTTGCTTGGCTCTCTGTTCATGCTGTAGCCTCATATTTTCTAGTTTGACTGGGCTTGGAATGAATCCGATTTCACAGCCTTCCTTAACCAATCGTCCTATCCACCAGTCATTGTTAAATTTCTAAACACAAAATCAAAATTATTACAATCAGTGCACAGAAGTTCTACTCTTCAAATTGTAGTCCTTCCCCATGAACTATTTCAGTGGAAATATCATGGCAATTACAATAAACTATGCCTCAAATATCACAATTTAAGAGACTTAGGTCCACAGACTGAGCATGTAAATGTCGTGGTGGCTGAGCAGTCAACAGCAGGCTTGACTCTGCTTTGCTCTCTGGGCTCTGCCTGAGACTCGCATGAATTCCATCACAGCTGCTGTTGTCACCATGAGCAGGATAAACTCCGCTTGCTCAAAAATTAACAGCCCTTCATAGCAAGACACCATTAGGCACTACGCAGTCTTAAAAAAAGCTCCCTTTTAGACTAATTAGCAGAATTAAGTGTGAGATAAATATTGAAACCTGCCAGAAATATTGTGTGTCAGAACAAAATTGAGCTGTGTGCAAGCAGGTTAATAATTACCATGAGGCAGTGTCCACAGATGCGATGATTTCTTTCTTACTCTGATGGTGACAACTTCTGTCTTAGGAAGTATTTTATCTTAAATCTTTATCATCTGGTTCAATTTCCCTCCACCCAATATTTTTCCAATCTGTGCTTGAGTAATCCAAGCCAGAATATCTATTTCGACTTTCTTTTCCTTCCAGAAGGGCAGGAGCATCTAAGCACATGCTGCAGGGAGATGACCCTGAATCAGCCTAACCTCTTGCTGTGCTCCAGGCAAACCATCAGTTTGGAAAATGGCACCTTTCTTCCTTGCCAATTTGTTGCATATCTTTCTAAAAATTAATGATCTAGCACTCTTAATTTTGTAGGTTCTGTGCATAGGTCACCATCGGCCCTTTGCTCACAGCCTTGGTGGGGTGAGCATTAGACTCGCAGATGCCCCAGAGACAGTCTTCCCCCTGATGGAAGGGCTCCAGGGGTAAATTCCTCCAGGTCCAAGGAAAGCTCATATTCACACGCGAGAACAGTGGGGAATGTCAGGTCATTGATTTCCATTTTCTGTGCAGCAGACATTTGATAAGTGTTAACTCAAAATATGCTTAGTTAAGGGTGAATTTTTATGATTTACAGGCGGAGTCGTTGTTAACCAGAACGTGGAGACTTTTGGAACAGAAGAAAAGGGAGTTTCCTGATATCTGTTTCTTGCCTCCTTGACCCTAATCTTGCCATTCTTCCTTCCACAGCAGAAATGTTACCAAGGAAATTTACCAAAGGGCACCAGAGCCCTGAGTAAGATAGTGTCAACAGAAAGGAAATTAGGAATTCTAGATCTTACTACTAAACTCTCTCCAGATGGTTTAACTTGAGACATGAGGGGGAAATACACACAGTCAAGGTTGAACATTAAAGAAAAAGTATCGGTTAAGATTAAAAAAGGATCATCTGCTCTCGTAGTTGTCTATTTCTGGATCACAGAGCCAAGGGAGCATTGACATTATTGCCAGAGGCCTACAACTTCTTTCTTCGTTAGAAAAGTTATATTTATGTCAGAAAAGGCTGGGAGGAACTGATTTTGTGAGTATGTTATAGAACAGCAACTATAGGCCATGCTCTTTCTCAGCAATAAGAAATAAATAATGCTTCCAGATGAAAAATCAAGCAGATAGAAATTGCAATTATATTCCTTACTTCCTTAACATGCAGAAAATCTTTTGCTTCAAATGAGATGGCCATGCCTGGCACAGGAACATCATCTTCATGGGCTGCACTGTAGCTGACATTTGTCCGAACTGCAAATGCAACAGGCTTTGTCTAAAGAGGAAAGAAGCAGAGAGGAAAAAGTAAGAAGCAACAGTGTCTTCCCCGCCCAACTATAACACACACTGATTAACTGCTATAGTTGTTTCAACACCTTTTTCTTTAGCACAAAACAGATAATTAGTATTCACAACACATGAAATTTTCCAGCTCCAGGCTACTTAACACCTGTTTCCAAACTAGAAAAAGGCCATTGTTCTCTCTGAAAGCACCGCAAATAATGAAGGTGAAGATGAGCTTCTGAAATAATGTGTTTACAACGCAATAGCTTGTAGCAACTGGAAACTGGGAAATGGGAATAGAATCCCTAGTTCTTTCCTTCAGAGAAAGAGACTTAGGATCCACACCCCCCAACTTGAACATCTACTTTATTCAATAAATGATGACACAATTCCAAAAGGTATAGTGGCATAAGTGTCATAAGACAGACACTATGTCTTATGATTACAGCAAATATAGAGTCGTTTTCCATGGTTGTTTCTCCTTGAGCTCATTCAGTCACTAAAGATGATATTATTCAATCTATTCTATTATTTGATATTCACCAATTGGCAGATAGTATGTCCTCTAGGCAATATCTGGTTATCCAGAGTGAGAAAAGAGGCAAATTCAGAAAAGACATTTTGTTTCCTTGACATGAGAGGCAAGAGGATTTGGAGGACAAGGGGAAACACAGCAGACAAAACCCAGCTTCATTTCCACACTTTCCAACCTCTATTTATGTCAAGACATTAAAAAATTCCATTCCAAACTACTGTTCAAATGGGCTGAACTATTTAAAACTGCAACAAGCAGCACACACAATGATGCTTCTACAGCGACATGTGATCTTAATTACACTTGATTTTACTAATAGAAAAAGAATTTCCCTGAGTAGATCCATCTATTATTCAGGAGCATTTCTGATTACAAATGTATAAATACAAGATTAAAAAAATATATTAGTATGATCTTTCATCTTGCAGGATCTTTTCTTCCTTGTAACATACAGTATTAAACATGCCATGTATTCTTCTCCTGTTACTGGAAAACAAATCTTAGACATGCGGTTTTACTGAGGATCCTAGGGGAAAACCTCATTTACTTTATGCAGTGATCAACTATTCAAATATTGACATAACAGGAAGAGAGATGCTATAGGAATAATAATAATGGTAATAAAGGGGTGGAGAAGATCCGCCTACAATTCCAGGGGCCAGGTAGTATTTTTCCTTAGATTAAGACTTTCATTTCAAGTGACTCCCTCCTTGGCTCACCTCCTAGCAGGGACAATGGGACCTAAATAGGAGGCTTAGATGAGAATCGCTTTAGCAACACACAGGTCAGAAAGAAGAGCAGTAGAATACAGCCTTTCAGTATCTTCCCTTGAGGAGCTGTATTTCTAAGATAAGAATGGAGAGCAAAGTGGAGGAAGAAAAAAGATGCAGTAAAGATAAGGGAGCTTATCAGTTTGTGGTAAAAGATTCCAGGATGAAAACTGAAGGGGCCCAGTAACAATGTCACTTTTTATTCCCTGAACTCTGTTAAGCTTTGTCGAGCTCAATCAGGGCATCAATAACATGGTAAGTATTTTCCACATCAGTTCCTTTCATAGGGGCTTAAGAACTGAAGGTTTTAAATAACCCTAGGATGTTGATTCTGCCTTTGACTCAGGGAGTGACCCTGACTCTCAATGACCATGTTTCCTCATGGTTAAAATGAGAAAACCAGGACCCAAGTGAAGCAGGTGAGGTTACAGAAAGTGAATGCCACAAGGCGTGGTGCGGCTAATGTTTGGTATCTAAAGTGAACTCAGTGCCAGGCACCTGTCAAACACCAACATTATACCAAGCATCATAAATACTTCCTCACAGCCTCCATCCATGGAGATGCAGCACTAATCATTTTCTCTCAGTCTCTCCTCAGATCAAACTAGTCAACACAGTTTAATAACTGCCATATGATGTGTGCTATAAATCAGTTATACCCATGATTTCTTCTCTAACATGGATTCTTTTATATTTGTTAGCATCTGAGAAAATGGTAATATATTCAAAAATATTTTCTGATATTGATTTCACATCTAGGGTACTACCACTTCAAGCACTAATTCTAGTATTCTTTGTGATCTCTCAGATAGGGTGCCTTTTTTTTTTCTTTTTAATAATATAATAGTTTCTTTTTACATCATTGTGTGCCTTTTCCATCTCAGTTGTAATCTCCGTGGGCTTCCCATCACCAAAGCACCTGTGTGCCATCACCATAGTGCATAGTGCACTTTCCCTCCCACCCCCCCATTTTTGATCCCATTCCCCACTCCACCAGATAAAATGTCTCTGGTATAGTTGTTCATTATTATTATTATATTTCCCCCTGATCTTTTTTTTTTTATCCATTTTTAACCAGTTTCACATACTAAGAGAACAGCTCTTAAGGAACCTTGAGATTTTGATCCTATAAAACCATTTTATAGCAAACGAATCCTCACTTTAAGCTGACCTCTTCATGTGACCTACTCGGTTTGACCCAGCACTTCACAGCACATTTCCTCTCCCTCATTCACAGTTTTCCCGATTCCCATTCAGACAGCCACTTTCAGGCTGGAAGCCAGTCACACTAGTGACTTTCCAGCATTGCTTTTCCAGCTAGGTTACCAGGACATAGTCCAGCCAACCCCAACTTCACTTTCACGACTTAACAAATTATGACAATAATGGATTCTCTTGAGTCATCTATGTTTTGAGATTGGTGGCCACTTACTGTCTTTTTTATTCCCTTCTTAAGGTAAGGCTACATCCTGAGAAGCAAGAACAAACAGAAGACAGAAACGACCCTACAGATTCCTCACAGACACCAGGATTAGGCTGGACTGTGATGACAAAGAGCTCCAGGACACACTGGGATCCAAGAGATACCCTCCATGTCCCCAATGCAAAGTGAAACTGGAAAGGCAAGAGGATCTAAGCCTGTTCAACTCAGTTATAAGCCAAGCAGGGCTGCTTAATTCCACCACAAGTTCCCAGAAGCTCTCTGCTCAAAAGGTCTAGTTCATGGCGTACTGAGACTCGTAAGCCAAGGCAGTTGTATGTCGGGGGGGCAGGGATGAGTACCTGTCTACGGGGCTGTTCCTCTCCCCTTATGGATACACATTCTGCCACAGAGAAAGCCTCTTTTGAGTTCTCAGTGGTCCATTCATTCATTCACTCACCACTCACCCATTCCATTTAGTCTAATGACTAATGTATCAGTTGAAATACTTAAGTGAATGGTAGATGCTAAGATATACCGTGTCTTCTAGGTGCATTTGTTGTGGAAATGGAAAAGTCAAAACAGCTAAAAATGGCCAGAATGCACAGGTGACTGGGCAGGCACAATTTTAATTGGAGTACAGGTAACTCCGTTAAGCAAGTAACCTCTCAGGTATGAAGGAGGCGAGGGACTGCAGATATTGGAACGCCATGCAGAAAGATCAGTCATTGCAGGGGCCCTGAGGTGGGACTGTAAGGGCAACAACGGGGAACACCATCTGAGCCAGTGGGTGACACCTGCAGCCAACTCAGCGGTAAAAGGTGGTGCTTTGCAGACTGTCCTGAACGGGGGCTACTAGAAACAAGCAGCAGAGTGGAGCTGCCATCTGGACTTCAAAAGATGGAGCCCAGGTGGGCTGCTCTTATAACAGGGTGGTCCCCAGGAAAAGGGAAGTTCCAGGTTCCCAGCCCCACCCAGAGGTAGGGTAGAGCTGAGAAGGAGAAAAAAAGAAAAAAGAAATCTGAGGAGGAAGGAAGCAGGATGGAGAGCCATAAGGAGACCTGAGGAGGCCCACATGGAGCAAGGGAGACATGTGAAGAAAACGTATTTATTTCTTGGCCCTGGACTGGCTGAAAGACATTTGGGTGAGGACTCACACGGAGGTTGACTACGGCAGTGTTTATGTTGATTTTGATTTTGCTCTTTTCCTCCCAGACTTGTCTGGCCATGTGTGACCCTTTTCTGTGGGTCCCGGCCAGAAAGGTGCTTTAGTCTTATGGCAGCTTTCATGCCTGGCTTTGGACCAATCCCTTTTGGGTGGACTTTTGCCCACGAGGGGATGGGTAACTTCAAGTGTTTGATTTAGAAATTATATTCTTTGTCTTCCGTGTTGCGTACTCACTGTATTAAAATTTCCTTTTCATTAGTCTTATATGTTTTGTCTTGATGCAGTGGATGGCGAAACCTATTTAGAGCTAGCAGGTTTGGGGGTTCAGTGGTACCCCTCTCCCTCCCTTCTGTTTCTGGCTGGCTTCCAGATGTACCCTGGTCTCTGCTGACCGGACCCCATCTGTAGACAGGAGAGACTGTATCCAGCCACATGCTGGTCAGATAATTTTCTTCTCTCATGCTACATGTAAATAAATCCTTTTAAAACTTTTTTTTTTTTTTTTTGGTAATTTCTCTCTGTCTGTCTGCTGTGGTCCTGTTCTATATGCTTAAATTAGACTAAAAGCCAAAGACCTTGACAGTCTCTTCAAAGCCACACACAACCTGAGAGCTAGACCTCATCTTTTCTTCTTTTTTTTAGTTGGCTTGAGTTCAGTTATGGTGTTTCCAGGAGAAGAGGTGGTCTGATGTGTCAAAGGGTAGACGGAGACTGCTGAATTCCAAGACACTCGGGGACTTTTAGGAGCAGACAGCAAAACCAGTTGGAGACTATCACAGTCACGGGGAGGGGAGGGGGGAGAGAGGATGAAGTTTCAAAGTGGGCAGCACCAAAGGAAGTTGAAAAAACTGTTCCAATTCCAAGTACATTTTCAAAGTAGAAACAACATGTTGGGCAGGTATAAATGTGTGAAAAAGTCAAGGATGATGCCACATTTCTGAGACCTGAGCAGCATGGAGATTAAGGTGCCTGCCAAGAAATGATAGGGAGGGACAGCAGGGGGCTGGAGGCAAAAGCTAGGAACTCAGACATACACATGTTAAATTTGACATCATATAAAACATCCAATTAGATTTTGGAAGAAAGCTCAAAATCTGAA